ATCTCCGATGAAGCTGTGAATCCCACAGGCTGAATAAAATTTTTCGCTAAAACTTTTGTATAATTAGTTTCGGTGGTGAAAGTAAAAGCAAGAGTCTAAAATGATGCGTACGTTTTACTTTCGCATATGCGATAGCTAATATTTGTTATATAATATAATCCTAAAATCTAATGATATATTGCTACGAGTTACGGAGTATTATGTTCTGCGATTTTGATTCTATCTCGTCGGATAGCTGCCGGCATGAAGATAACAGATGAACGAGCGATAATTTTCAGTTTGGGAGACAGAGCTGAGATTGACAGAACTGACATTTCTGACACACATTCCATTAAACTATTCTATTATGGTTCTCTTTGAGTTATCATGTGTGTTTGTGTTCTTATTGTAATAAAGCTTTTTTCGTTCTTTTATAAAGACCCGTGTCTTTATTTCCGTTTATTGTGTAAACTGTCCGTGTAAACCTGTCTTCAAGTAGGAGCTATTTTTCTTCAATGTGTACATATTTTTTTAAAAAGCTAATAAAGTAGGTACTATTCAAAATTTTTGTTACATTAAAAATATTTTTATTATATTTACAAAATCCGTCCTTTTTTCTATAAAAACTATTATTTTTTGTTTACATACAAATGAATAAATTGAAACACTCTGTGTGTGCTTTTTTTCTAATATGACATTTTTCTTACTTGAAGGCAGTGTACCAAAGAACAATAACTTTGACTGCGTGTGACTGTGATTGCAAGATGTTCTTCGCGACATATGTAAATGTATCCAATTTTATCAGTTATTATTAATAATAATAAAAAAAAACGGATTATGCACATAAAGAGGTCATTTCTCTCCACAATATCTCTAAAACAATTGAGATCGAGGATTTTCCCCATGGATACTTTATTGATAAGGGCGAAATCAAAATCTCGGAATTTTATCTCGAAATCAGAGATACACTTGGAGAGGTTCTTTTGTCTCTCCAATAATATTTCTTCCTCGAGTCCGGAGGATCGCGAAATGAGCTAGGTTACAAGTTAAAGCCAGATATTTTCAATGGGATCATTCCTCTACGCGTTCTTCATTCAGTTCGACCTGATCCAATGGCTAGAGCGATTCAGTGAAAACTATGGCTTTGGTTTTGTGTTTGCAAGGTAAAGCGCAAACTATTCTTGATGGCATTGCGGAGATAGAAACGTTAATCTTCGAGGATTGAAAAACAGGTTAGCTCCATAGGAGTTACGTTTTGGCGAAGGACATTTAGCTCACTTCTATCATTTGTAATTTACTAATCATAAGTAAAAGTTTAGAGAAGAATTAGCTTCCTTAGATTTCGATATTGAGCGATTGGCGCGTTTAACTTACCCCGAATGTACTCCTGAAATTCGAGAAAAGATTGCTTGCGCTCATTTTATATCTGCGTTGTCCGACGGGTTCGTTAAACGACGGATTCTACAGTTAGGAGTTAATGCATTGAGGACTGCAATCAAGAAGCAGAGTTGCCACAGACCTGGAAAACCGGGAAAAGTCAGGGAAAAATATAAAAAAGACTGGAATTTTGAATTTTGCTCACAATTCCCTTAAACTGTTCTTATTTCAAATAATTTTTATAATATTTGAAATGTTATATCTAACGTTTATAATCAAATACGTTCAAAATTCATGCGCTTTAAAAAAATTAAAAAAAAATAATTAAAATATATATTTTATTCAGTAATTTTATTTGATCACTATTTTTAATAATATAAGCTTTCTTACAATCGTTGATTTTAAACGTTAAAATTTTTTACATTTTTTATTATGTTAAAATTTTTATATATTTTATATTAGTCATAAAAATTGTCCACTTTTTATCTGGAAAATCTGGAAAAGTCCGAGAATTTTAAAATTTATTTTTTGTGGCAACTCTGATAAGGGGATTGCGATTAAAACTATCCATGAGGATAATTTTTCTAGAAAAAAGAAGCTTTTATGGGTTGATTTAACGATGGGAAAAATGTGAAAGAGCTGGATACAGTTGAGAAAAAGAGGAAAGATGACTCGGCTAAAAATGATGAGAGTAAAAAGTATCAAGGAAAAAAAGAAAATTTTCGATTTAGACAAAATAAAGATATGGAGTATTGGCAATGTGGAGCGAAGGTTTCATGAAGCTTTCGTTCCAAATGTCCTTTATTGAAAAAGGAGAAAAATAGAAACTAGGCTTTAGTCGAATTGTGCAGGGCAAATTCGATTGGATCATACGTTACGAGTGTCAAACTTCTTTCAGAATAGGTACGGTAAAAAATTCTTTCTGTTTTATAGGAACTTTAGACGGAAAGTTGTGCAACTTCAGAATTGATATAGGTTCAGATATTTTGTTATTAAGTGACAGAATGGTTGATGCTTCGAAATGGCGAATTTCAATTGGCGATTTAAATTTGTAGTACTCTACTAGGGAGGAAGTAGTTTTGCAGTTTAAGATCTTGACTAATGTGGAAGTAGGAAAATTTTTCCTAGAGTTTTCATTTTTAGTAACTGAAATTTCGATTATATTTTAGGAGTTGATTTTTTGAAAAAGTTTGGGAAGAATCTCCGAACTCTAGAGTAACAAAGAACATGTGAATCTAACATATTGTCATATTATTCTCGGAGAAGGGAATTCCCATTCTTCTTGAGGAGCTTTCTCGTAGTGGTTCAGAAGAATTGGATTCAAAGAGCTGGTGGAATGGGTGATAGTGGCGTATTAAAGAGCAATCCCAGGATGTTTGACGTGTATCCACACGAAAATTTAAATTTCAGACTATGTCTGCTATAAATAGTATAAACTCAATACTCATAATTCAAAGGAGACCAAGTATTTAATCATCGCATGTTTAAGCTACAGAGATGCTCCTGAGCCAGAGTGTCACGTGAGCGCCCAACGGCTCGACCGATCGATAGTAGGGGTAGCGCGCCAGAATCGGCCCGAAATGTGCAAATCTTTGCGCTGAGCACTGATCTAAGTTATATAGGTCGAAACTTAAGATATTGGTAAAATATTTTTATATCTTTTATCATTATTTTATATATTTTATTTATATATAATTTACATTAAATCTGATATATTTACGTATATTTACATATATTTACGTTACTATTTGCTGTAACCGATGCTCGGGCACTCTTATCTTATAGTGTTCAGATTTCCAAAACCACTCTGATATTTTCCTAGACTTTGCCTACACCCATTTACCTAGCGATCATCCACCCGGTAAAGAATCTGAACGCAGCCTAGAAGACATGAAATGTCAGGGTGTCATTAATCTCAGAATTCTTGGATTTTCCCCGCGGTTATAGTAAGAAGTAAGGATGGTTCACTCAGATTTTGCGTCGATTATAGACAGTTGAATGCAATTATTGAAGGATTGCTATTTTTTGCCGAGAATGGATGATATTTTTGATCGATTATTCGAAACTTCTTGATTTATCTCTGGATTTAAAGAGTGACTATTGGCAAATAAAAATCCGTTTGGAGGATAGGAAGAAGGCATTTCTATTGGAAACTGTTTATGGCAGTTCACAGTTATACTTTTTAATTTATGTAATGTCCAGCTATTTTTGATCGGTTAGTAAGAAAGATACTATGAGAGGTTCTTTGTAAAGTTTCCTTAGTATTTGGATGATGTGATTGTTTTCAGCAAAACTTTTGAGGAAATGTCAGAAGATATGGGAAGTTTTTTATAAGTTGCGTCTTATCGAGTCTGGTCACTGAAAATCACTCGAGGAAAGTAACACGATGATTGTCATGTGTTTCTTTGAGTGATTTCAGTCACCAAATGACTAATTGACAAGATTGATAATTATGAATCACAGTAAACCACTTAACTGACATGAGTAGATTTCTCGTTTTCTTCAAATAAATGAATAGTTTTTACGGGCACGAATTACATTGATTATGATATTAAAGTGACACGTTTCATGTGATATCTGGATTAGCTTTGTAAGAGGAATAGAAGTTTATTAACATATATAGGTATTTATTTTTGGAACTAGATATGGTTCATCGAAATGAAAATTTATTCTTTCTAACAGTGAATTAATTAAATAAAAAATAAATTTAATTAATAAATTAATTAAATATATTTTAAATAAAAGAACATGGGTATTGATGCGCAATGTCAATTTATTCAGAACGACATAAGTTAACAATTAAAAACGCAAATTAGAACGCATATAGTTAACAACTAAAAATTAAATCACGCAAACGTTTTGAAGACGCTAGCATTTTGGAGACTTCTTCAGCTGTTATGCTTTTTATCTTGTCACAAATAATTATTGTAGTTATATAGTATAACTCTTTAAAATTACAGGAATTGTATAAGTCAAACTATATGAATTGATAAGTTAACTAGTAATAGTATATTAATATAGTAATATATTATAGTAATATATTAACTCTTATTGTCGACATGACGATATAGATTTTGGAGTGAATTGTAACATTTACAATTGTTGTTATTAATAGAAATATATATTAACAATAAATGTAAAAGTCTTTACCCGTCTTTCTTAATAAGTTACAATAATACAGTCATTGAATTTTTACAAGATAATTTTGTGCATGCCTACGTATGCCAGAGAGAGAGAGAGAGAGAGAGAGAGAGAGAGAGAGAGAGAGAGAGAGAGAGAGGGAGAGGGAGGAAAAGAGAGGGGGGGGTTGCAATCGCATATGTATGCACTATCGTATGTAGCGATCAACTGATTTCAACGAGGATTCCACGTACTGCCAGCTTTGGAAGGTAAGTTGCATTGCTTCTATCTATCTTCTTTTTGCGTCTCGTAATTTGCTAACTATTTCTTGCTATAATTTCAAAACTACTTCGGACAAAATTTTGGTAAAGAAAAAGTCTCTTAGAATTAAGTTGAGAATATGTTATTTTAAGGACAAACGTTTATTTCGAATTCTATATATATAATAACAAAAATTGTATGTATTTACATAAATATACATATATAAATTGTTAATGTTCTTACAAGAATGATATATTTTGTAGGCGGTGCGGCAGCAAGAGCTGGTCTTCATGCGGGTGATAAAATAATCAAGGTGAATACATGATAATAAAGTATAGATATGAGAGAAAACACAACACTTTTGTTAATCTAGATTATTAATTACTTCTTGTATATGTGATGTATCTAAGTATTTATCGAGGAAATTTTATTTTATTATATGTTAGTCTTCCAGCGGGCGCGCGCCCTTTCATAACGAGAGCGGGTGGGCCATGTATAGAGAACACCGTAGAATAAAACTGAAAATTCTAAAGATTAAAGCATAATATCATCAAATAAGCATTATGCGATGAAAGTTTACGATATTTAAATAATCATTTATTTAAAAAAATAAGTGTTTATTAGAAAATGGATTAATAAAAAAAAGTTTTGTGCGCTTTCAGTCGCAATATAACTATTGCAAATAATAATTGTCGAATGTTTTTTACAAGTAAAATGAAAACATTCGTTGCATTTGAGAATGGTAGTTGTATTTTTGCATAACTTGCACCTCCCTTGCTTTTCACTGACATTGAGCGATTCCTGTATATCCTCCACAGGAACATTTTTCTGAAAAAATGCCATGATATCTTAAAAATTGATTCTATATAAACAACATACGCTAACAGAACGCGACTTGAGTGAATCGACGGTCCGAAAGACACTGAAGGAGTACCTTGGGAAGCCGAAGTTCAGAAAATAGATTTTACCTGTATCCTCTTCATAAAACGGCGCGCATGTACGGAAAACATGTGCGCACCCGCTGGAAGATTAAATTAGTTTAGTGTGTATAGTTGTTTGTAGGCTTGTAGTAATTATCTTGTACTCGTACTAATTGCAATGCATCGTACGGATAATAAATTGTTGCATTTGTTGATATATATCTATAAATTTTTATTTTATAAATATGTTTCTAATATTGTGTTTCTAAAATATGAAAATTTTACATAAAATTGTTTAGTTCATATAGATAGACTTGATTTTTATTTGATAAAACATTGATAGTTTGAGTTACAAATCTTACAAAATTTTTTAATTAAAAAGAATCTTATTTGATATAATATATTATATGCAACGTAATTATATCTATATATTTTTTATTCTCCTATTTTTTTTATCTTTGCGCTGATTTTTCATCACTCTGTCATTTATGCTTAGAATTACTCAAATGACCTGGTATAAATATGAACTGGTAGAAAAAAAGCACAAGGAAAGAAGCGCGATAAAGATTAGAGAAATATGAAGTAAGAAATACGAAAGAGTCAATTATATTTGTGAATTAATCTAAATAGAGAACATTAAAATCATTTTAGAATTTGTTTTATTAAAACATAATTTTTTGAATTGAAAGGAATTAATATTTAATTAATTCTAAGTTACATTAACTCTTTATTATTAATAAATAAAAAATTTTATATAAAAGGTTTTATAACGGTTTTTTGTGTTAAAGGTGAATGGAGTCAATGTGATGCAATCTACGCATACTGATGTAGTTCAGCTTATAAAGTGTAAGTATTTTATTTTTTAAATTTTGTATGTTTTTGTTAAAAATTGAAGAATTACTGCAAATGTGGTATTTGTATTATTATATTAAAAATATGTTATATTCATCTCTGTGAAATTAGCATCTTATTTTGAAAAAATTATTAGGTGCGCAACTAAGTTCTCGCTGTTATTTTCATGGCATTTGCATCAAAATAACAGCGAGAACTTAGTTGCGCACCTAATAATTTTTATAGTTCTAAATGCATCTCGGAGAGTTTAATGCGTCTGGAGTTTCTGTCTGAAATTAAAAATAATTCCGGCGAGTTAAACAAAAAAAATTAATAGTAAAAGTTTGGTTGTCAACTTCACAAAATGCATGACAAAAAATCGTGATACCTTCTATAATATTGATTCTAGTTTTTCGAGTCATAATAACTTTCATCAGAACTCTTGCTATCCAGAATCGATAGAATTACTTTTAAAAAAGTTTCAGGTGTTAGAAATTTTTCGACATACGAAAAATTATGATATCTCTTAAGAGGTTTTTGAAACTGTTAAAAAATCGAAAATTTTTTTGCTTAAATCGATAATTTAATGTCTAAAGAATATAAAGTTTTTTATTCAAATTTCCAATGTTAAATTCCCAATGTGAAATTCCTAATATTAACGAAGATAGAGTTAATTATGTCGAACATTGCACAGCAATTGATGTCTCCATACCGCCGTTAAATTGTTCCGTTTACCAGAATAATTCAGTCATTATTTGACGTTATAGTTATATATCTGTAGATAACATTGACAACAATTTTAATATACATTATATTAGTTTTGGTTAGAAATCGTCCATGTGCTTAAAATGCGACGAAAAGGGATTGTTATTGAAATTTTAATCGCGTTTTTCTCAAGTTGGTGTTTTCAAAAACCGTGGACACCAGGACTATCACAGAATTAATCCAAATGTTTTGAAATTTGGCTCAGTTATTGTTAACCTCCAGGCGGCCGGGCTTTTTTTTATCTGAACAAGTGCACTTTTACTAAATATTCTCATATAAGTACAGCCCAATGATCAACTGTGATGTGTCGGTCATGGGATGATAGGCCTGTCAACAATTCTGAAAATTTTTTTCTTTTTAAATCAAGAAATATGGGTACCTAGGCATTTTCGAGGTCGCTAAAAACTTTTCTGACCATCCTAGGTTCTGAAAAACCTCATCAAAAATCAACGTCACCTAATTTTTCAATATTATGTAGTTAATGACTCAATCTTACTCGTCTCGCGTTATTGAGCTGTACAATTTCTCACAACGTATTTCTTTCGTTGACCAAGTTAACGTACCTTTAGTTAAGACATTTCCGCAAAGGTTTTAATTCTCAAATTGCTTCAAGGGACTTAAATTTTCATTCTCCATTAAAAAACAATGCAAAGCGTTTGATGATTTGTAACAAACTGATATCATTATGCTTATCTCTATACATTGGATCTGCTATCACCCAATGTCGAACTTAATGTTCTGTAAAATAGTTTATTTTCATCCTTGATTTTATCGCTTTTTAGTAATTTAAAGAAATTCTCATTTCTTCTTCTTTTTAATATAGGATCAGATCTTGTTTTGTCCACTCCTCTATATCTTCTGTGATCCGGATGTCGAGCTTTCGTGCTACCTTTTTGGAGATCTTCCTGGCGGTCGGGAGCTCTGTGGCTTTTGTGTTTCTAGCCCACTTGGCTAGTCTTTTCAGTCCCATTCTTTCTATGTGATCTCTCCAATCTCGCCGCTTCGCTCTGACCCATCTTATATTCTCGATATCGTGAATTATTTGTTTTTTTATTATTCTGTCCCTCCAGTTGATTTCTCTTATTGCTCTTAGCAATAAGCTAGTCTTCATTTCTATAGAATTCTTTTTGTCTTGAATGTCTCGACTCTCGTTTCTGTTGCGTATGTTAGCACTGTTCTGATCCAGGTTTTATAAATTCTCATTTTGCTTTCTGTTGTTATGTTTTGATTCCTCCATATTATGTCTCTCAAGTATCTTGATATCGTATTTGCTTGTATACTACTGCTAAATTTCTGTTACTGAATGTCATCGTGCCGAAATAGTTGTATTTTGAGACCTGTTGGATGGATATATTATTTATTACTAGCTTACATCTTATTGGCTCCTTTGATATAACCATAGATTTTTTTATTGATATGAGTATGTTAAATTTGGCGGCTGTGTTAGGAAATTTATATAAGAGTCTCTAGAGGTCGTCCTCATTATCCGCAAATAGGATGCGTTATTCGCATAGCATATTTGTATCTTGTTGTTTCCCATCTCCAGCGTTTATCTCGTTCACACTTTTTATTATATCATCCATTATTAGGTTAAAGAGAATTGAGCTCAAGCTATCTCCCTGCCTTATGCCTGTAGTTATTGGTACTGCTTTTGTTAAGGTGTTTCCGACTTTTATCTTCGTAGCGTTGTCTTTATTCATTTCAGCAATGATGCTCCTATATTTTTCGCAAATGTTGTGCTCCCCCATTGATCCAAAGACATTCTCCAGACGCACTCTGTGAAAAACTTATTTAAGGTCGATGAAACACATGAATAGTGATTTGTTGACTCTCGCTTTTTCGATAAGCTGTCGTATTATATATATGACATCTATAGTAAATCGGTTGTATCTAAATCCTTGTTCTTCGTTTATATTAGATTTTTCTGCTATTTTCGCTGCTATTTCGTTTGTACCTTCGAAATTGAATTGAGTGTTATCCCTCTGTCGTTGTTTGGGTCTTTTTTTCCTTCTTAAAGATTGATATTGTTATCGATGTCTTCCATTCCTGCGGTATTAATCCTGTGTCTATGATTTTTCCAAAAAGAGTTGTAATTTCTTATAAAACTCTCCGAGGGCTATCAATAACTCTCAACAAAACATATAGAACTATCAAAAAATTGTTTTTATATTTTAGTCTACAATTTGCTTTGTTTCTAAAAAGTATAAAAAAGTAGTATAGAGTTGTTTTGGAGTGCATCTTTTTTTAAAATTTTGTTGTAGCATCGACGCAAGTTGTACTGACAGTGCAACAGAAACCAGTAACGTCAAGTGGTGGCGCAGCAGCAGTAACAGCGATAGCGACAGCAACTACAGCAACAACAACCTCTGGTCTACAAGTTGGTGTAGTTGGTGCAACGAGTCAACCTCGTCCAGTCAGTTTGTCGACGGCCGGAAACATGTCACCTTCGCAACCGGTGACTTCCCTTCACAGAGCATCCACTGCACCGGCGGGCAGTGCTCCGTGTAATACTCGAATTACGGGTCCACAACCAGTTGACGTAAGTAAAAGCACGTGTATTGTCCCTGATTTTTTTGTGTTTTCACTTCTTACCCGGAATGATTAAGAACGGAACAAAATGTGAGAAAATAGGAATATTATGAATACAGTAGTGTTTTATTTTAATTTGAACAATCGAAAAATTTATAAACTAAAGTAGAATTATATATTGCTTTGTTTGGGGATGACTGAATTTTAAGGCTTGTTCTTTTTAGCTGAACTTTTGCACCAGTTCATCTTTCTTCCTTTTCTCTCCTGGAGGAAAGAAGAGGAAGAAAGATGAACTAGTGCAAAAGTTCAGCCAAAAAGAATAGGCCTATTGATAGTTTCAGATTCGATCTCGGTCTTATTCCTACATTTTCCTCGGTTTGTATAAGGCTAAATAGTTAAAAGTTTTGATCGAAAAAATAAAAATATTATGTAGTACATCATCTAATTCATCATATAATTCATATCATATAATTCATATTTTCAGAAACCATAAATTAATACACTTGTGTATGTACTTAAATTTAAAGGAATGTAGGAGTTGTCTCGTTATATCGATGAAATGTGTAATTTTCCGATTCACCAATTTTTTAATTGCTTTTACAGATTTAAAAATACTTTTACAGAATTAAATCACAATAATCAACAAGTTTATGAGAAAAATAAAACAAAAATAGAAAATTATAAACAATAAGATAGGAAACAAGACCGTTTATGTTAAATAACATTACTTTAAATCCGAAGCGCCACTACGGTCTAAGTATTAAGATGTTGAACTAATATATATATTTTTCAAACGAATGAATTAATTTCAGAAATAATAATTACGTGTCGATATGGTTGTCGACATTAACGCAATTCATCTGAAATGTTAATAATCCCCCCAAAATTCCCCAAATTAAGAAAATTATAATTTTATTATCGACTTCTGTGATAAACTCGTGACAACATTTGCTGCACATAAAGGTTTTAAACTTTGTATAACAAACAAACTCTCTGTACCCTCGGAATCAAAAGAAAGAACAATACTTTTACCACGCTTTTATACTTGTTGAAAATAAATAAAATTAAGGTATTAGCCAGTTTTGAAAAGTGGCGCCTCGTAAAGGTTCATTATTATTGGGGATCGTGTCGTCTGTCGAAATTTTTTATCAAAACGACAAGATTAAGGTATTCATAGTCCGGCCTTATATTTAAGACTTTCTTAAATTTACCTTCAAGTATTCTACGAATTTTTTTATTAGCTAATGAGCATTCAAAGATAAATTTAAGGGAGCCTTAAATACAATGTCTATGAATACATAATCGATTAAGATATAATTACTAAATGTTATATCATGCTTTTTTCCGGTCACTTCGGGATGCATGCGAGATCACATTTAAGAAACGCCGGATTAATTAGGGAAGGGAGGTGGAGGCTCTCCGATTAAGGTGTACAGATCGCGCGGTTGAGCGTGATTGTCGAGAATCGCGAGTCGCGAAAATGTTGGGCGCTAGACATGCTCGGAGACGGCGTCAATTGCATTAACACGAAGAATCGCTAACTATACGAAAATTCCGAATCTGGGTACGCGAATATAGCATTAAACATTACAAGAACTCTCGTACACGTAAAGCTAGGTTGACTAGCTCTACCTAACGGCAGAGGCTGGATGTACATAAGAACGCAGAAGAAATACGGGAAGAGAATCGCAGAGCGCTCGCTCCCGTGTCACGCTCCATACCCATACGAGGGTACAATAGCTTTTTCGATTCGTCACAACTGCGATTTCCAGGAATGATATCGATCTTCATTGTGATGTTATACGAATTGATAAATAAGGGCAACTTCACTGATAACCTCTGAGTCCTCCGCAATATCCTCCGTGGTTTCTGTGAGAGCATCTTCCACGGACTAGAACGTTTATCATGTTCGCTCGCAACGGGAGAGAGCGAATAGAATCCCGATTGATACATGATCAACTTGTTAGCCCTCACGCAGGGATGCTCAGTGACGTCGCGCATTGTTGCGATCAGTTAGTGAACTCGCAGTCGTTTGCACGCAACGTATCGGCGGAATCCTGTGGAACATCTCGCAGCCCCGCAGACTTTTTTAACTGTCTTCCTTAGCGGTCGTCTCCAGTCGCCCTATCAGAGTCTTTGGCGTTATGATCTCTTCGTCGATTCCGGCAGTTTGACTTCCGCCGATTGTCCTCACTCCAAGGATCCTCCCTTGCTTGCTGTCTATCCCTCACGCTCGTTTTTGAGCTCAAGCAGAGGTTTCTTGTGAGCCGTGGCTTCTGCAGATTACTGGAAACATTCGCCATCTCCGCACTCCTCGGCATCGGTCTGTGGTAGCTCCGGTAATCTGTAACCTCTCTTCACTCTTCGCCAAGGTTGCCTCTTCTTGGCGATGTCTCGCTATCTCTTCACTCGGTGAGGTTCCCATACATTATATGAAACCTGGAGATTAGCAAATAAATTGCGATTTTCGCATGCGACTTCCCTGGAGATTTCGCTCGTAATTCCCGATCCGGCGCGAATTCGCGCTTTGCAACTGTGGAGGATCGCTGCGACGCCGCAGCAAAACTGCAACATTACAGTTAATAAAATATAAAACATCTTGAAAAAGCTGTTAATTTACTATTTTTGTGAACAATGAATCCAATAAATTATTTTGACTGTGGGTTAGTAATTTATTGAGAAAAATTAAATATTTTGGAACTCAAGAAATTGATAAAGATCAATTTGAGTTGTTTTCTTCTTTTTGAGGGAAGCCCGATTTTATTATATTATAAGATCGAATGTCATTATATAATTATTGTATGGCAAAATTAGTTTTCATTTACAACTTTAATCCAAAATTTCACAAAATCGCGACGTAATAAATGGGTTATAAATTGTATTCAATTTGATAAAAGGATTTTTTTAAAACAATCTTTTTCTGGAATCGAGAAAAAGTTATCTTTCCTTGAATTATGTTAACAAAATTATAAATAAAAAATTAATAAATGTTTCTAGTTTAGCCTATTCTTGACAATGCTTTTATTTTTTAGCTTGAGAAAAAGCGGCAGTTGGAAACACAGAGAGTCCACACATTTCAACTTATGTTGGAAAAAGAACAAAGTTACGTAGATAAATTACGAAGCGAGTTAGCAAAAACTGGCACTGGCAGTAGCAGCACTCACATCTCGGCCATACAGTCGGAGCTGGCTGGTGCTGAGAGAAGAGTACGCACCTTACAGGAACAACTTGCGGCGATTAGTACGACAAACGAACAGGTCTGCCTATTTATCCCTTTTCTATGTATATTTTTGTTCACTAAATTTCTTTAACAGTCGATGTGATATTTACATGTACAGTTATCAGAAACCTTTTATTTGTCACCTAACATATCTAAGAATTTAAATATATCAAACGAAAGGACACTTTAAAACACTTTGAAGACATGGTGGAAGGATTGGTGTGTTTCGTTTGTAAATGTTTCTCTCTAATTCTCTGGTTTCTCGCTTGCTTGATGACCGTTCAGATCACAATTTAGTCACCCTTACGACTGAAGTTGTTGTCTTCATTGCACTCACGTCATTTAGATTCGGTCTCTTTTTATCATGTATTACTACTACCAATGTTTGTTTCGCGTCACATGCTCGCGTCCATAGTTCCTCAATTTTGCGCTTGTTGGCGTGAGAAGGAGCTATAATAGGAGCATTTTGGAGCATGCGACGCGAGTCTACAATACTTATCATATAACTATAGTGAAATTTATTTTAGATTTAACAAAAAATTAAAAAGGGAAGATGCCAATTAACATGGCGGAATACACTCCGCCACGAAAATTTCCGTTGGTGTAGTTGCATTAGTGCTTGTTGATCGACAGTCGAGAACACTAGGCGAGGCACAATACACTCTGCCTCAGGGATCCCCATCGATACCTAGGATAGCCAGTCGATTGCGATCGAGAACGCTGGATAGCAGAGTACTCTCTACCACTTTTCTGCTCGCGGCCAGAGGATTCGGAACTGAATAAGAACGGTAGAAGAGCAGGATCGGTGTGGGATAGAAAAGAGACCGCGCGGGGAAAAAATGTAGCTTTTATACTAATTATTGCTCCCGCTCATATTGTTCCGGAATCATTCGACGATTCCCGCACGATTAACAATACGAGCGGAAGAGAATGAAATTCGGCGGAATTTAAACGAACTCGGGTATCTTCGGCGGAGCATCACCTGCGAGTTTAATGTATAAAATTCGGGCAAAATGTATTGCTCTTCGGCGATTGCCGCAACGATGTCCGGCTGGTATTTTTGATAGGAACAATACACACCCAGGGCGTTACAATCATAACAATTTTGAAAAAAAAATGTAAAATAAATTTCGGAAGTGATTATTACAATTTATAAATAAAAGATAATAAAAATAAATTTGAATATCCATGCTCAGTTAATTTTTAATAAAATGAAAGAAAGGGCTTAGAGCAATAGCTAATTGTTAGTTGCTATATTTTAAAACATTAAAATTAGAAAACAAACGTTTCGACCTTACATTAGGTCATTCTCAATTATAAATAAAAATGATACCGATGATATGGGGGCGCCGGCTTTTATCCCACGACTCTCATCCCACCTTTCCCTCTGCTTGGGTGTGCACGACTTTCACCTGAAGCGACTCCCACCTTTCTCTCTCTGCTTGGGGGTGCACGCTTTTCCGTGAAGCGAGATCTACTTCCACTTCCCCCAGGGAAAATACTATTGGAACAAGAAATCAAATTTTCCGGTCACCTCGCACAATTGTTTATCGTGACGCCATCTTGATTGTAGGTTTCAGCGACAATCGAGATGACCGCCATTTTGTATTCTTCGAGATACCGCTCAACTTACTATTCTCTCTCGCGCCTTTACTTTTGTATATTGAGTTCGATGTTGTGTTGCCTCTCTTTTTGTTAATATTAAAAATGCACATTGAACTTAGCATTACGGTTGTCATTTGTAATTATTTCTCATCCGGCGTACTCGTATTCCAAATTCATATCAGGTCCAATCCAACAGGTTATGGACCCAGGATTTGCTATATGTTGAGGTTAAGTATCCACGTGTTCAATTAATAGTGCGAATTTTCTTCTCTTTTACGATGGTTTCATATAGACCGTATCGTATTGAATTATTGTCGAAAGTCAACTACGATACTTGGAGACTGCAAGCGGAGGCTCACAACAAACGATTTGTGGGAATGTCAGTGGAGACAAGGTTAAGCCGGAACCCACAAATGAAGAGAATGAAAATGTCTTGGCAGAGACTTGGATAATTACAGATAGAAAGGCCAGATCGGACTTAATTCTTTCAATTCACCCCTCAGAATTATCGCAAATTCATAGATGTGAAACGTCGCGTGCCATATGACTAAAATTGGAGTTGATCTATGCTTCCAAGGGGCCCGCAAGAAAAGCAACGCTCATACATCAGCGGATGCAGAATGGCGGAGATATGAAGGAACATATTGATAAATTCTTCGATGCTGTTGACAAGTTGGAGGATATGAATGTACAAACAAATGGTGATTTGTTAACTATAATGATATTGTACAGTCTCCCAGCTTCGTTCGAGAATTTCAGATGTGCCATCAAGACTCGACACAAGCTTCCCAGGGCAGAGGAATTGAAAGTAAAGATGGAAGAAATAGAAACGAGGAAAGCTGCAGGAGAACTCATTACTGCTTTAGTTGTGAAGAGTAATAAACCGAAATTTCGACGTTCAAAAAGAGAAAGATGGATGAAAAGAGAACTAAAAGCAATAGCAGTCTAACCGTAAGATGTTATGATTATGGCGTTTTAGAACACAAGAAGTCGGTATAGGACACAAAAAGATTGTCCGAAGAAGAAAGAAAATAAATCCTCTGAAAAATCTCGGCAATCGGCAAATACTGTCGATGATTACGCCTGTCATGTGACTGTGCCTATTGAAGAAGTATTTGGAGACAGATGCGGAACAGGTCCTGGATTCTTGACAGTGAATGCACTGCTCATCTTTATGATGACGGAAAAAGTTTTCATTTGCATGAATCGGACAGAATCAGATGAAATCTAGTCAGTTAAACTGTTACAGAAATCAAAGGTGAAGAAGAGGTTTTGGCTCAGCCCGCCGAGACTGAGCAAGAAAAACGACTAGTGCAACTCCGGAATACATTATATGTACTCGATTTACGTAAGAATTTGGTCTCAGTAACTAAGATAACGGACATAGGATACGAGATAACTTTAATAACCGAGAAGTGCGTTGATCGCAGTGACGGCAGTGAGACTCGTGGCGAATCGTAAAGGAGATTTATATTATGTTTGTGAAGATGTAAAATCGAAGTGTTCGGAACTGTTGAAGTGGCACTACCGTTTGGGTCATTTAAATGCTCGTTATCTCGCATGATCGATTCGAGACCATGTTTCATTAAATGTGAATCTAAAGGATATTGATAAACTGTCGACTTGCACCATATGTCTAAAGGGAAAAATGACAAAATTACTCTTTCTGATGATCGAAGCTCATGCACCGAGCCATTAAAGATTGTACACTCAGATATTATTGGTCCATATCATACACAAGCAGTCAATGGTGCACGATATTTCGTAACTTTTGTTGACGACTGTACCAGATGGGGAGAAGTTCATTTCCTATGTGAGAGAAAAGTGATGTATTAGAGGCGTTCAAATCGTCATCAGGCTATGGTGGAACGGATGACTGGAAGGCAAATAAAGTATTTGCAATTTGACAATGACGGAGAGTCTGCAACGCCGAGTTCGACCAATGTGTAATCAACAATGGTATTAAACGTAGATTAACAGTCCCTTACACTTCACAACCAAATGAAGTAGCTTAGAGGTTAGGTTCAATCGGATATGGCTAAATGTTTAATGCTTCAATCAGGCTTGACAGCGAGTTTCTAAACTGACACCATTGCCATTGCTTGTTATATACGCAACCGATCCAACAAGCACCTTAGAAATTCCATTCGAGAAATGGACAGGCGAATCGGTGAGTTATGATAATCTAAAGACTTTTGGTTCGAAAGTATTTGTTTTAGATAAGGATCCAATGAAGGAGGAAGAAAATTGACGGACAGAATGTTATTGGCTGTAAACTTATGTTAACGAATAAATATGGTACAGATGGCCAGATTGAACGTCACAAGGCTAGATTAGTCGCCAAGGGATACAGTCAACGTTTTGGAATTGAATATCATCAAACAGGTCGCGAGGCTGGAAACAGTTCAGACCATGATGGCTCTCGAGCTTAAGCTAAAAATCTGGCAGTTCGATGTTGTTACTGCTTACCTCTGCTTACTGTTGTAATGGTCAGCTCGAGGAAAAGATTATCATAGAGATGTTTGAGATGCTCGAGGAAATGGTTAGGATTGTTGCTAAAACGTCGAATGTTTCGGAGATTCATGCACGTACTTAGGCCATGTTTAAAATGATTGAGAAAGGAGGAGATGTTTATCGTCTTAAGCGAACTTTGTATGGACTATGTCAAGCCAGACGGCAGTGGCATGCCAAGTTAAGTCAAAAATTGAAAAGCTTGGATCTTAAAGCAATCATGAATGAACCATGTCTTTATTACGGCTGGCGCAATTCTGAAATCATGCTCATGATCATCTATGTTGACGATCTATTTGTAATGGCACGAGATGAAGCTTAGATTCAGGAAATCAATTAACTATTACAAGACTTTGAAATAAAGGATCTCGGTCCTGTAAAGTATTTTGAGATTGGAGATTAACCAAGAAGATGGAGTAATCGAGTTATCACAGATGGGTTACATTGTGATGTTGCTGAAAAGATATGGAATGGAAAATTGCAACGGAGCAGCCACACCCTTTGAGATGCCATCATCACATCGTCCGACGGTGGGACCGCCATTAACTCGAGACTCGAATTCTCAAAAGTTGCCGTATCGTGAGTTGATCGGTGCTCTAATATATCTTGCTATGGCTACACCGTTTCTAGACTGGCTCAACTCATGAATAATTTTCAGGCGAAACACTAGTCGGCAGCCAAACGAGTCCGGAGATATATTTGTCTGTGTAACCTCTGACCTGACACTTGTGGAGCCGCAATTTCTTGGAGATCTCAAAAGCAGCGAACGATCGTGTTATCGTCCACCGAAGCAGAGTACGTTAGTCTCTCGGAAGCTGCAAAGGAAGCCAGCTATTTACGAAGTCTGATGGATGAACAAGTATGGAGAAATTATCCTCTACATTGACAATCTCAAGGCATTCTACATTGCTTCCGATCCTG